ATCTGGGATTTAAATGACAGGTCCTGATCAAAAACAACACCAAGATATTTTTACTTTATTATCTGAAAAAAAATCTGATCACTTTATTATCACTGGGCTCACAGCAAAGGTCTCCTGTCATCCAGGAATCAGCCGAACCATTGCACTGGTTGAAATGAACTTTTGGTGGCCATCATTATACGAGGATATTAAAAACTAAGTCCAAGCCTGTCCAGTTTGTGCCCATAATAAATCCCGTCAACTCCCAGTGGTCTTCTTCAACCTTTGGCTGTTCCATAGCGCCCCTGCTGGCACATTGCTTACATTTTGTTAGGGGTTTGCCTCCATTAAAGGGTTTCACCTCTATACTCACAGGACTGGCCTTTCTCCATCTTCCTCTTCAAAGACTCTCCTCAACCTTCAAGCAGCTCAGTTACTAACCCAACATGTTTTTGGTCTCCATGGCATTCCTCTCTCCTCTGTGGGGAAAGCCAGGACTGCTACACACAATGTTTACAAAACGAAATGTCATTTAGCACAGCTTTTGAGACATTAAAGGAACATTTCCATCCATAAAGTGCAGCAGTGATCACATGAAAAAACATGGTGCAGAAAAAACCCGCATTGATATGGAAAAATAGCCGTGTCTGTATCTGTAGAAAATGGTAGATCCAGTTACCAGCAGGCAGTGGAAACTGCTGCAGAAAACATGTGAGCATCTTCCACTTTTCACAATTGCTTTCATTGCGATGGCCTAGATTCAACACAATGCGCCCCGGGCAGCGGATCTCATCACACCCAGCTAAATGGCACATATTGAATTGTGCTGGTGGGCAACCTGAGCTGATGGAGCTAAACGGCGAGTCTTTGACCAGACAGGAGGGGAGGCTGTGAGGATCAGTGGACTGATCAGGCTGCAGATCTGAGATGGGTGCCGGTGGCTAATCGAGCCAATTGTTCTTTTCACAGATGGTAACCAGAAACGCCTCCCTGCAGCACAGGCATGGAAAGGAGAGCTAGGCGCTGACATTTACAGGCCTGCTCTACTAATCTCATTTTTCCAAATCTGATGTGATGAGAGGAAACTGATGGGAGCTGTCCGGGTGCTGAAATGCTCACCCCTGATGGGTCTACTGTTGAATGTGTGATTATTCATTCATTCATTGGATAAAACTATTATTATTTGGATTATCATCATTACGTGTTAAAGTGACTATTCTAAGTAGTTATCAGTAACTGACCCATACCATCGGACAGAGGCTGACTAGTCCCCGCTTTAAAACCCCTTGAAACGGCAGGAAGGGAATGTGCTGACAGGAGCATGAACAGCATGGTGTTAAACATGCATGGAAGCAGGCTTTCATACCCGCCCCATAAACAAATGATCTCACTACAGCCTGCACAGCCTCTGCTGAATGAGCTGCAATAAACAAGCCTTCTCTAAACCATTCCTAAGGAATGATGAGCTTTATAACGAAGGATTGATCCGGAGCAGCAACAAGCCCTAAAACATCTCTATGGTTCTGAGAACAGTGATTATTCAACTGATATTTCCTTTATAGCCAATCAGATTCCCCACTGACTCCCATGTGTG